TCTGACATGAAATAATGTCTCTTTTGTTTATTTACAGGTACAGCATATCCTATATTCCATTTGCAAGGTGGGTTTCTTTATATATTCAAAACTACTTAATTATTGTCAAATGAAATACAAACCAATTAGCTCAGAGATTGATCAGAGCAGCAGGAAAAAAACATAGACACACTTTAGTTTAAGAAACAATTCTCCCTATTAAGTTGTGGCTTATTTCCTGCCTCTTATTAAGATAAGGGATGTTTATTATACCTTATACTACATCTCTAATGCTTAGTAATACCTAAATCTATACTACTTTAATAACTATTAACAAGAAGCAAATATGATTTTAATAGTGAGAATTGTATCTTTTATATATCATAGAAGCAAAGTCTGTGGACCACTTAATCAGAATGTATTCCAATAGCAACATAATGTAGTAATTATATACACTCACTGGCCACTTTCTTAGGTACAACTTACTAGTACCGGGTTGAACCCCCTTTTGCTTTCAGCATTGCCTTAATCCATCGTATCATAAATTCAACAAGGTACTGGAAATATTTCTCAGAGATTTTGGTCCATATTGACATGATAGTTGCTGCAGATTTTCCGGCTGCACATTAGTTATGCGAACCTCCCCTTCCACCACATCCCAAAGGTGCTCTATTGGATTGAGATCTGGTGATGGTGGAGGCCATTTGAGTTCAGTAAACTCATTTACATGTTTAAAAAACCTGAGATGATTCCCGCTTTATGACATGGCACATTATCCTGCTGGAAGTAGTCATCAGAAGATGGGTACACTGTAGTCATTATGGGATGGACATGGTCAGCAACAATACTCAGGTAGGCTGTGGTGTTTACACAATGCTTAATTGGTACTAACAGGCCCAAAGAGTGCTAAAAATATCCCCCACACTATTACACCATCACCACCTGCCTGTTGTTGTTGCCAAATTCTAACCCTACCATCCAAATGTCGCAGCGGAAATTGAGTTTCATCATACCAGGCAATGTTTTTTTCCAATCTTTTGTTGTCCAATGTTGATGAGCCTGTGCAAACTGTAACCTCAGTTTCTTAGCTGACAGGAGTGGCAACTGGTGTGGTCTTCTGCTGCTGTAGCTCATCTGCCTCAAGGTTGGACGTGTTATGCATTCAAAGATGCTCTTTTGCATTCCTCAGTTGCATTGAGTGGTTATTTGAGGTACTGTTGCCTTTATCAGCTGAAACCAGTCTGGCCTCTCTCCTCAGACCTTTGGCATCAACAGGGTATTTGCGCCCACAGAACTGCCACTCACAAGATATTTTCTCTTTTTTGGACCATTCTCTGTAAATCCTAGAAATAGTTGTGCGTAAAAATCCCAGTAGATCAGCAGTTTCTGAAATACTCAGACCAGCTTGTTTGGCACAAACAACCATGCCATGTTTAAAGTCACTTAAATCAACTTTCTTCCCCATTCTGATGCTCGGTTTGAACTGCAACAGATTGTCTTCAGCATGTCTAAATACCTAAATGAATTGAGTTTCTGCCACATGAATGGATGATTAGAAATTTGCGGTTATGAGCAGTTGGACAGGTGTACCTAATAAAGTGGCCGGTGAGTGTAGTTTCAACTTTAAAAACATCAGTTTTGCAATTTATCAGAGTACCACAACTGGTCTTAAATGTGTGCGGAGTTCATATTGTTTTATAGGATGAAAACAGCCGTTCTGTCACAGCCAAAAAACACACTTTTAATCATGTTTTTTGGCTTAGGCGTTTGTTTACCTTTGCCTGTTTGTTTTTGTGCAGGGATGCAATTATTAAGTTGTTCTCCGCGTGCTTGAAGTGAGATGCCTGTACATTTGGCCTTGGCCGTCTCTCGCTCTCTCTTTCTCTCTCTGTGCTCTGTGCTCTGCTCTGGCTCCAACTTTGGTGCTGCCTTCAATGCCACTCATGTGCCCACTCTGCCACCTGGCACAGACACCACAGCACACTACACTACAGGCTGCCCTCGCTCTCCCAACCAATGGACAATCTCCATCTGTGTGAACAAGTACTTTCTCTCTCTTTCACATACGCACATGCATACAAACAAACACCTGTGCTTTACATTCAGGTTGGAAACTATGAAGGATGAATTTTGTAATCAGGTAAATGTTCGAGTTTTGGGTTGTAGTGGCTAGGTGCAACAAGACCGAATTGCATATTTTGCATTTAACTGCTGTGTAATTGCTTAAAAATGCCATCCTATGTGCCTTCCTCTCTGCTCTTCATCCAAGGATTTCTACTTGAGGGCTATTGTGTAGAACTGTAACCAGTGTTTGCTTTATTGTTTAAGTTTTAGGTGCAAGAGAATTATTTTTCTATATATTCTGAATATATGCATTTCGATTTTTAATCCAGTTAATGCCCAAGTAATAGTGTGATGGAGATGGTTTATTACTTGCATAATGCTAGCTATATTATCTTATTAGAGAAGTAAGAATATTAACACACATTAGGGTGCCAATGTATTTTTTGTAGTGTTAATTCTGTCATCAAGCCCATTTCAATTATCTTTGTATTTAGGAGCTAAATCCTCTTATTTTTCAAATCATGTAACATTTCGCTTTAATGCTGATTTCAGGTAGATTTTTCTCCTTGTTGTCTTTTGAAATAGCTGTAGATGTGAAGAAGAGATTCAATTTATTTATATATATATATATATATATATATATATATATATATATATATATAACACTGACTGAATATATATGTATATATTTTTGAGTCAAGATCCCCTACATTATTAGGATCAATATGCAGGTTTGCTTCTTTAATGCATTACTGCTAAGAAAACAAAATGAATGTATATGTGAAATGTTTAAGAATGATCGTATATGGACAAATCGACAGTCTTTGCTGTATTAAAGTTGTTGAGATTCATTATTGAGATTCGTTATTCATTTAAACTGTTGAGTAGTGTTGTTTAATTTCATTCGCAATGCATCTTATTTTTCCTGCACTGTAAAAAAAAAAGCAGGGTTCCACACAATTTCTTCATCCAACACAAATCATTTAAGTTAATTCAATTATTTAACAAAATGTATAAGTGGATTGCACATTAATTAGTCCCAGAGAAAACTCTCCTTTTGAATAAGTAGTTTGAACAAGCAGCAAAAATATTTATTTTAAGACTGTTTTTGTTTTATTATTCAAGTTGATAAAAGTGCTGTCATTAAAAAATCATTAGTGTTATTTAATTTCATTCACATCTTAGTTTGTATATCTTTAAATGGTGGGTTCCACACAATTGTGGATCCCACCAAATGTGTGTGCATGCGTGTGTGTGTGTACATATACATACAGTGCTCAGCATATATGAGTACACCCCCACAAATCTCTCATTTAAATTAATATTTTCTATACAAGCTTTACAATATTATATTTGTGGATATACATTATAGTCATTACTGTAGCCAAATCTGGAGCTAATCTTACAAAATAACTTAAAATAATGGTTCAAAAATTAGTAGCCCAAATTTATGTTAGGGAAAAATATTAAATAAAATTTTCAAATATAGTTAAAATTAAGAGAAACAACATATTTACAATTCTGTTGAAATAATATAAAAATGCAATATTTTGCATGAATTTCAATGTATAATCTTTCCATTTATAAAGATGTTCTGTGACTAAAATATTATTTTAATAAATATATCTGTTTAATAAATCTGTTTTGTTTAAATGCACCATTACCCATATTTACTGAGAAATTGAGAAAAAATATTCATTTTGAAAATGGGGTGTACTCGTTTATGCTGAGCACTGTATATAATAGTGGATTGCACATAATACAATTATGTTGTCCCAAAGAAAACCCTCAGAAATTGTTAATTCGTCACATTTTGAATAAGTAGTTTGAACAAACAGCTATAATATTTATTTAAATGTTTTTTTTTTTTTTTGTCTTATTCTAATTAGCTAAAAGTGCTGTCATTTTAAAATAAGTCTCAATAAGACTTTTAGCTGAGTTAAAGTTCAGGGATGTGCGTAAGTCATCTCTGCCAGTGAAAGGTCAGGTGCTTGATTTTCTGATGTTTGATATATAGGAGGATTCTCCGCTAATGAGACTATTTTTTTCGGATTTAAACTCTTTGAGTCCTCTAATCTCCATGCGCGTGGCTCTGTGATTAGAGCGCCGGTCGCTGGATCGGGTTTCCGTTCATTCTCGTTCGCTAAAGAGAACATCCAGTATTTTATTTCTCCTCCACATGGCTTGTACAATACTCAAAGCTCTTTGACAGTTTGCCCTTACGTACGCCGTCACATAGGACTCCACGTGAATCACAGAGGATGTTCTGGTGTTTCATATTATAGGCTACCTTTCCGACTACAGTAGGAAAAGCATGTGTTTTTAAATTATCACGTACAAAAGATCCTTCGTAACTTACAAATGATAAATGAAATATTAAGATTTAGTCTTTTTTTTTTTTTTTTATAAAAATGCATATCTGTTTCAAGATTAAATTGTTTTGTTATTTTGTAATTTAAGAGAGTCGAGTTTAAATTATATATATATATATATATATATATATATATATATATATATATATATATATATATATATATATATATAATTTTAATAGAAATTATGATTGAATATTGCAATATATCTGAATCTGAAACGAGTCTTTTAGTTAGGTCAAAACAGTGTTTATTGCGTATTTTTTTATCTGTCTATTCCCCCCTAAAATAATTAGCCTATAATTTGACTGAAATGTACACTTAGTCCAAAGTCCTTGCAAAATAATGGATATAATAATTATATTCAAGACATTAGTTCTGCATTATCAATTAATATATTTACAACATAAATGTCATTTAATTGAGCTTGGATTTATAAATTATTAATATTTTAAGAGTTTGTCCCCTAACAAAAATTTTCATTTACAAGCTGCCCGCTTTCTTGGAAAAAAAAAAGGTCATCTTATGGTATCTGCAAAAATATCCGGATGATTCACGAGTTAATCTGGCATTATGTTTTTCACTGCTTTTTGCAAATTTATTTTTCTCGATGTTTTGCCTGTATTAAGTTTCGTTTGAACTTGCTCCCCGGGGTTTTTGCTATTACTGAACCCGCATAGCATTGCCTAAATATGCATGTGAGGACTGGAAATAATCTTGAATTTAGAATATTAGCATGAAAACAAGGGGATGCGAATGAATCACTTAATTAGAGCAAACCACGTGACTGCAGGTTTGTCCTCCGGTCATAAGAACAGGTGGTCGCAGTGAGCTGAAGTACAGTTCAAACTAGTACACACACTGCTGGTATACTCATTGTTTTATTAGCTATATTTGTTCGATGCCTGGTTGCGTTATAGGCAAAAGTTTACTGTCAGAATCTGATATATTACAGTAAGTTAGAGTACAGTTATTTTAAACTTGCTGTGTGAGATTTTTTCGTCACTCAATGAAGGTGGAGGAAGATCTGCGGAGCGGCGGGACGGTAAGCAGCGGTCGAGGCGGCAATGACTGCTGTATTACCAGACTGCTGAGCGTCGTGGAGAGCGAGTTACAGGCCGGCCGAGAGAAGGGAGACCCGACTGAGAAACAGCTCAAAGTCAGCCTGGAAGATGCTGAACTCTGGAGGAAATTTAAAGAAGTCACTAATGAGATGATTGTGACCAAGAACGGCAGGTGAGGCGCAAAGTTCTGTCACGAGTAGCCTAAGTAACGGTACTGTTTGATAGTCTTAATTATTAATATATTTGTTTTCCACAGAAACGTGTTTTTTACTCGAACTTAATGGCATTTCTTTGTACACCAAAAGTTTGTACAAATAACTAAATGCTCTTTTTAAGGTAACGCATACTATTTGAATTCTGTCAGTCAATTTTGAGACCTGTCAGAAAAAAAATCTTAATTTTATTTATAAAATAAATACGAAGTTGTTGTCTGAAAGTTTTTAATTTAAAAGTAATTTTAATTTAAATGGTTAATTCGGATGCATAAAATGGCATTTAAAATATTTTAAAAACGAGGTCACAAATGTTTGCAGTAATGCAATAATAAATTGATATTTTCGGAATTAAGTAGGCCTATATGCTTACTTCAAAGGAAGAAATAAACATACAATGCTCACACGTTCAATATTAATAACATTAGACAAAAATGCTAATCTAGAGACATTATTAAAATGTATTTTGTTGTTTGTAAATAATCTAAAACTTTTTGCTCATAAATCCTTTTGAAAATATTTAATTATTTGTGACTATTTTTGGTTTTACTGTTTTATTTTATATTCCTAAAATATTGAACAAACTGCATATTTAGTCCAGAATTCATCTGCTTACTAAATAACTCCTAATTTCTAGAGTTTTATTATTTTGTGTTGCTGGTATTGGCACATGGTGGTGTTTTTGAGTTTTTTTTAATTATTATTATTTTTTTTTTTTTTTAGAACAGGTAGATTAATTGAATTGAAAAGGCTTGTTGTGGTGTTGTCGAGCTGAAGGGTGACTTGACCAGCTTGTTCAGTAGTTACAGGTCAGCTCTGCAGGTGGGTGTCCTTCCATTTGCAGACCCTCTTAAACCTGTTCTCATCCATGAAATATAGTCATAGGAAAAAAAAATAGAAAATGACTAGCTTCCAAACTCTCCTAAAAAAGTTTGTGCCTGTGACTGCTCATAGAGTTTTGGCAGCCGTGTAAATCTTTTTTTGGTGGAATTTTTTATTCATGCATGTTATTTGACAGATTATGTTTTTTGTCTTGAAGGGATATTTCTGTTTAAGTAGGAGTATTTAACGTGAATTACCACTTTTTTTCTGTACGTTTAACACAGTAAGTTGTTTGCATTAATATTAAACTGGCTCCAAAGCAACTTTAACCTTAAATGACATATAACATATTTACAGTAATAAATACTTTTCAAGACTTATTATTTTTTGTTTTACTCTTTTTGATGTGAAGAACTGGAAAATTATAGTCTGACAAACTTTTTTTACAAAACCATAAATGCCAATAATCTATAATTTAAGGGTGTGTTCACACTTGGCATATTTGGGTGTATTAAACTCATGTGCTCTGTTTGTGCAGTTCGTTTCAATAAGTGTAAATGCTGTCATCTGAACAAAACCAAAAAAGGACATGATCTCAGGTTAGACCACAAAAAAGCAGGGATAATAATATTTAGCATATCTGATTTTCCTCATCAGTCACAATGTTACCCGTTTAGTACACGCAATAAAATAACTCATTGGATGAACTCAATTTATTTGAGGGCAGGATTTCCATCCAATAAATTTAAGCATTAAAAAAAATGTACACAATTAAATGCAATTGAGTTAGTCTAACATGAATTTATCAAATAAGTTTAAATACATTTGAATTTTTATTTAACTTAAATTCAAAGATCTGATTATATCATGTATGTCCTCGTACATGTCGAAGTATTTTAGTTTCATTTGAAGTTATCCTAAATGAGCCATTTTTATGCATATTTCATGAGTTACATATACCAATGATTGAGACTGATCTCAGAACTGATTATTTTAGTTAATTTAGGACAGTTATTGCTCACTGAACAAAGCAACAATTATTGCATTATTGCTAATTAAGCTGCCAACACCCAAAGCACGGGTGCTTCTGCAAGGTGGTAATCTCAAAACTCAAAGCATTACATGAAAATCTTCTAAATCTTCAAACTAAAGTGAAGATTAAACTCTGACAAGTCTTTCTATTAACTTTAAATACATGAGATTACTTTTATTGTCAACATTTCCCTTTCTTAATTCAATCCGCAAAACAATCTGGGAACTACAAATACCCTAATCGGGTAGTTAAACCAACACATTTTCTTCATGTTGTCCTAACACAAAACACGTAAGTTAACGTTATGGTTAAGTGAACATAAAATAAATAAATTGGCTAAAGAAATGACAAGAATTGTGTTGTTTCAGTTTATTTTAAACGGGTAGTTTGAACAAGCAGCAGTAATCATTTTTTGATGAAGGAATTCCTGATTAAATATTTCAGAAGTTCTTAGCTGATAAAAGTACTATTGCAGATTGAAAAAGCAGGGGGAAACTGAGTAAATTTGTTGCCTTAAAAGCGACAAGTTGACTACTTAAACGGAGTAAACCTGTTGTAACATAGAACTGTGAAATCAACTTAATTTTTGTAATCATACACATATAATTAATTTACATGTATAATGTCTTTTTTTTAATAGTATATTATTAAATTACAACAACAAACCAGTGAACAGAACAAGGAGGGGGGAAAGAAGTTAATAAATTAATAATACTGTTATTAAACATAATAAAAAAGGGGGTCAAATTAGAGATATTGCATATTCATACACCACAAACCTTCACAAGATCTGACCTCAATAAATCAACCCTCTGGTGAGTATGAAGGTTATGTTCAAACCCATCTGCAAAAAAATGGACCCCACCTCTCATGAAATAAAACATCTTTGCTGTGTAAAACACAAGTTAAATAGTCCAGTGGTACATATTCGAGTATTACCCTATGCCATAAAAACTTTGTAGGTTTTTTTTCAATTATCCAGTTCAGATGTCAGGAACTTGTGTGTATTTTTATGTTTGTGCATATTAATCTCATTGTATATCCCAAGCAGCATATGATTTAGGTCGCAAATAATATTTATATTTAAGAGACCATTAATTTCTTGTTAGTCATGGCCCAGAACTTTTAAATTTCCCTCCAAAACCAAAAAAAAACAACAAGGTCTCCTTCCTCTGTTAAACATTTTACATTTATAATTTGTTGAAATGGTGGTTCATTCCGCTGTGGTGAACCCTGATTAATAAGGGAATAAGCCACAAAAAAAATCAATGAATGAATTTGTTGAAATGGTGGTTCATTCCACTGTGCCAATCCCTGATTAATAAGGGATTAAGTCAAAAAGAATATTAATGAATGAATTTCTTGAAATGGTGGTTCAGTCCACTGTCCGCTGTGGCAACCCCAGATTAATAAGGGAACTAAGCCTAAAAGAAAATTAATGAATACATTTGTTGAAATGTATCATTTTGAGGGAGCAGATTTACTCACTTTTGTAAAGTCAACTAATTGCTTTTTACAGCATTGTGTTGGGTGCTCAGTTTTGACGATTGTACACAATAAAAGCCTGTTTGTTCAATATTTTTAAGCGCAGTCTTTAAATAACGGCAATGTGAATGCTAAACAAACCAGGATGAAATGTATACTTTTCTCTTTTGGTTTAAACCATAAACAAACCAAGTAGTTGTTCTGTCATACAGGAGGATGTTTCCAGTTCTGAAGGTCAGCGTGACGGGTCTGGATCCCAATGCCATGTATTCGTTCCTTCTGGACTTCACCCCTGCAGACGGGCACCGCTGGAAGTACGTAAACGGAGAGTGGGTCCCGGCGGGCAAACCTGAGCCTCACAGTCACAGCTGTGTCTACATCCATCCCGACTCCCCCAACTTCGGCGCACATTGGATGAAGGCTCCGGTGTCCTTCAATAAAGTCAAACTGACCAATAAACTCAACGGAGGTGGACAGGTGCTGAAACACACACACACAGAAGATATATGAATGAATGGGTCACACTTTACAATAAGCTCATTTGTCAATGCATTAATTGACATAAGCTAACAATTAGTCGCTTATTTTGGTTACTCTATTTTTCTGGTAATTCGTTTATTAATTAACAACATGCTAGGAGTTTAGGTTTGATTTAAAAAATATTGCATATAATAATTACTGTAATTATGCTTGGTTAACACTTAATAATAGTGATTCACAGATAATGCATTATTTAATTTGACCACATTTCAAAGAAATATTTATGCAGTTTACTAAATACTGTTTAAAAGTATGTCATTGTCATATTCAGTATACAGTTTAATAGTAAATATTGATTCTGGAAGTCAAAAATAATAATAATTAAAACCAAGTGTTAATGTTAATGAAGCAATTCTCAGTTGCTTCAAAAAAATTTTTATCAAACATCAGCCAAAACCTTCTGAAAAAAAAATGGTTATAAGAATGTATAATAGATAATAATTATACTACAATATTTAACATGTTCAAATGTTCACAATTCTCTGGTGTCAGTTAATGGTCACATTGACCAGCAGGTAAACTAAAATAAGTAAAGTTTCTATTTTTTGAGTTCCTGTTTAAACATATATTTTATTATTACAACTTTCTTAGGACTCATTTATAACTGCAGTTTTTACATTAAGCTTTAAAAAATCCTGCTCTGGTGCAATGCAATGCAAATTAAAAAATGTAGTATTATTTACTGACCTTAATGTCCTTCAAAACCCATATAAAATTCATTTTCTGGCAGGAAGGTATTTTGAATTAAAATCTGGGAGATTTGTTAGTTCATTTACACCATTCATTTACAATATACAGCCTGCAAATGTGGTCAAGGAAGCTCAAAAATTCTTGCTTGATGTATGAAAACTAACAAGGTCCATTTTTCCCCTCAAAAGCCCAATTGAGCATCTGCAAGAACCTAATAAGCATCTTCTCTTGATACCAAGAACTTGGTTATTTTTACTGATCAGTATTCATATGCAAATTAAATTAAAAGTATTTTTACCCAGAACTGTTCTAATTAATGTAGGTACTGGAATCTCTCAAAACAAAAATGTAAATTGGTTTCAATATTCGACTAAATCCTGACACGATTTTCATTTTAAAGGAAAGTTGACCCAAAAATAAAAATTCTGTCATCAATTCCTCACCCTCCACATGTTTCAAATATTTTTTTCCTAAACATAATAGTTTTTTAAAAAAAATGCTGGAAACTAGTAGCCATTAATTGACTTCCACATACCGCATATCAGTTTTAAATTTTCTAAAACAATTAATTTGTGTTTAACAGAAAAAAGAAACTTTTGCAAAGTTTGCAAGTAGTAAGGGGTCTCTCTTCTTATCTCATCTCTTTTGAGGATATAGTAGTCTTAAAGTGTTTGTTGACCCAAAAATGAAAACTATTTAATGAATTACTCATCGTCATGACTTGCCAAACCTGATACCTTGGTTCCTCTTTAAACACAAATTAAGATATTTTAAGTGAAATCTGAGAGCTCCCTCATCCTCCATAGACAGCAAGCTACCTGACTCATTCAAAGTCCAGAAAGGTACTTAAAAATATCCTAAAAACATACCATATGCCTTCATTGGTTCAATATCATGAAGCTACAGTACAAGAATACTTAAATGCACACATGAAACAAAAACAACAACTTTATTCAACTGTTTCCTCTCTTCAGTGTCAGTATAGGGGAGCTCGTTCACAAGTCACTGTTGTGGCTGTGCCTCTGACATACACCTTATACTGACACTAGTTTTGTTTCCATCTAAAAATATGAATTCTATTTATGCACAAAACTGGATTATCACATAAAAGGCGTGTGAATAAAGCAGCGTTTCCATCCAACGAGTCAAAGAGAACGACGAGTCACTGAGTCACGAGTCAACTGGCGCCAAATATCAAGTAAAAATGGAATTTGCTATGGTAGGAGAAGCTGTGTGAATCTAAATGATTATTTATAAACGACTCGTGCCTCAGTAGACAAATGCCGACATGCAATGAAAGCAAGGTGACATTTGAAGGCGTGAGACGTGAAGCACAGACACTCTTGACATTTTTAGAGGTAATTGATAATATACTGTAATAACACTAAAACTGAAATGGTTAAGGCGTTTTAGAATGATCAAAACAATGTTTTAGATGTTTTGCAGTGTGGTCAGCCATCTTTATCATCACATGATCTCTTATAGCAAAGACCCTTTTTAATGCGCAGACTGGAATTTGTTCGGGAAAAGTGTTTCCATCATAGTGCATGCATAGATGCATAGTTTATGCGCATCTTTTCTTATCGAATAAAAAGTTTATCCTGCTCAGTTATGAGATTTTTATGTTTTTTATGCTCTTTTCTTTTAAATTTATGCGCATCTTGGCATTTCCATCAACAGATTTTGTTTTATGTGCATATCCAAAATGTGCATAAAAATAGGTGGATGGAATGATAGCTACTGAGAAGTTAAATAAACTTGCTATTTTTGTTGTAACTACACAAAAAAATCCTCATAGCTTGATATTATTCAGAATGAATATGGCCAGTTTTGTACATATTTTGGTACCTTTCTAGACTTTAAGGCCGCATTTACACTGCATGGTTCAAGCGACTCAATTGCGATTGTTTTCTCCCATGTGGCACAGATCAGATATGGCCCATGTACTTGTAAGCAGGAAATAATCACATGGATTTACTCAAATCAGATTCAGGCCTTGATCATATGTGGCAATTTATCCGATATGAATCTGATCTGTGTTCTCGTGTCTGCAGTGTAAGCAAGTAGATTGGATTTTCACCTGTCGATGCAAATCGCGCATCATTAAAAAGCATAGTGAATGACCTCAAGTCTGATGCTTTCATTTCAGAACAGACTTCAGCAGAGTCCCAAACCTTAAATCTCATACAAGAGGACTAAATACGCTTTTATTTTATCACATAACATAAGTATTCAAGCATGTTAACGAGAGAGAGCGCAAGAGCGTAACATCCGCCATGTAACCATAAACTAATATAAAACCGTTGCATACATCACATGGATAAATCACACTATGGACATTACATTAAGACGCCTACTGGTTTAAATAGTCCTAGATTAAAAGAAGATTACCAAATGCACACTTTTCTATCATAAACTATAGTAAAACAAAAACTTAAGCCAGTGAACAGATTAAATACAGGAATGGAGAAAAGAGCGCTCTTTAATTATCAGCTGTCAGTCAGCACCTGCTCTTTTTTTTTCCGGGTCATTGCGCCTTTGCCGTGTGCTGTGTAAATGCAGACAATCGGATACGAGTCACTTTTAAAAGATGATGCAAGCAGGTCAGCTAAAAATCGGATACAGTCACAAAATCTGAATTGACCATCAAGATCTGCAGTGTAAGTGCATCAGGACGTCTATGGAGGATGAGGGAGCTCTCACATTTCACTTAAAATAGCTTAATTAGCATTTTGAAGATAAACATTGGTTCGGAATTACATGGAGGGGTGTAATTAATTGCATAATTAAATTTTTTAGATTAACTAATCTTTAACCCGTCTTACCAATGAATGACAGCAAGTTCCCTCTCAAAGCATTTTTTTTCTGTCATACTCCCTTTTCAGCAGTCAATTTTGTTTAGTTCTTTCCTAATAAAAAGACAAGAGAAAACACAGAGCGCCCGCACATTGTGCTCGTGCTGCGCAGGTGTGTATAGCCATACGTGGCCTGTTCTGCAATCTTGAGTAGCCTCTCAGGGCTCTTGTGTGTCCAAACAGGCCTCTGTAGCTTTTAGGAGTCTTGGCCTGCCTTTAATCACCCTGCGCACTGCCACGGGGAAATTTCAAGTGCGCATTTATACAATTAGTGCTCTCCTCTGCATCCACTTCACCTATGGAGCCCCTTTGTTCAGCAGGGACTGCATGTAAACAGGAATAAACAGCTCTTAATTGCCACTTTTCTCGTTTAATGCACTTCCTGCCGTTCAGACAGAGAGTGGTCTACTTCAGCTCGCCATCCTGGCTTTCAGCAGGGCCGCTGCGAGGTGCTCCAGCCCGCTCCATTCGAGTATGACTCCGCCACCAAATTATTATTGGTATTTACATGACCCCTCCCCTGCGCCCTTCCCGCCACCCCGTCCTCTTCTGCCCCGTTCCTGTCTGTTGCCTATTTACCGGGCTTTTTAAACGCGGAGCTGGCAGCGGAGAGGACGATGAGAGAGAACCAGCTCTAAATGAAATAATTGCTGTGGTTAGTTGTACATTATGGTAATTACCTCTGTTTTTTCTATGCAAAATTAATTTAGCCATCAGTCCTTAGATGTTCAAAAAGGCAACATATTAAAAAAGGCAGCGGGGAGAGAAAAGCACACAAAGCCCTTTATGTCCCCTGTAGCCATGCAGATGAGTACCTGCCCCTCATCAGTCATTGTAATCTACCAATTAGAGAAAAAAAATCAAATTATTCTGCTTTTCTCTCTCGTTCTGACAGCCTCTTTCTCAGAATTGGGTTGAAATGTTTATTCATGCTTGACGTGGTCACTGCAGTCATCCGAAGAATTTTTTTATAAATACAATGATGTAGGTAAATGTAGAAACTTGCTAATATGGATAATGATACTCTTAGCTTTTTTCATTTAAGATGTTAAAACTTGGCTGTTGAGATGGAAAGTGAAAGTACATCATCAATACACACATAGGCAAACATAATTACATCTAAACACAATATTTTTTCTCTGAATAAACATATTGCCCTTTACTAATTTATAGCCATCAAAATGTTTTAATCAATGCCACACAGCATAAAACACAATAGAATATGGTGCCATTAGCCTTGTAATTATAGTGCGCCAATATACACTACCTGACAAAAGTCTTATCGTCGATCCCAGTTGTAAGAGCAACTAATAATAACCTGACTTCTAGTTGATCATTTGGAAAAGTAGCAGAAGGTCGATTTTTCTGTTGAACTTCATCCAAATCATCACAAATACTGCAAAAGACCAATTGGAACCAGCATGGACCCAAGATTCTCACAGAAATCAGTCAAGTTTGGTGAAGGAAAAATCATGGTTTAGGGTAACGTTCAATATGGGGGCGTGTGAGAGATCTGCAGAGTGGATGGCAACATCAACAGCCTGATTTGTGCTGCCTATTACATTAGAAACCACAGAAGAGGGCAAATTCTTCAACAGGATAGCGCTCCTTCTAATAGGAATCTTGAACTCTGAGAGAACGCTTTCTTTGCCATTACAGATGACTTTATTAATCAGTTATTTGAGTCATTGCAGAGATGTATGGATGCAGTCCTCCAAGCTCATGGGAGTCATCCACAATACTAATTCTTACTCTGCACCATGACTTTATATTCTATAAATATGTGCATTTATGTAAATATTTCTGTTTATTGACAAGACATGTGTCTAAAGAAAGTCAGACCTTACTGTCCTAATTAAATAATTAAAAATCGAGGCATGATCATAATTTATTTTGGTAAAATAAGTGTAATCTAGAGGCCTATACCTTTCATATACGCCACTTCTGATACCAAATGATCAACTAGAAGTCAAATTATAAGGTAAGTGACAAGACTTTTGTCACGTAGTGTATAACATTAAAGTGCTTGTGGTGTATGTATGTGTTTATGTATGTGTATGTTTTGTTTTATTTTTTTCAAAAAAATTGACATTTATAATATATACAATTTATGCTTGTGTATGTGTACGTGTGTGTGTGTGTGTGTGTGTGTATGTATGTATGTATGTTAAGTAACTTTATAAAAAAAATTGACAAATTTAAATCTATTGATTGTATCTATTGATGTACACTCAAGAACTATTTCTTAGTATTGATAACAGTAAGAAATGTTTATTGTGCTCATGTGCAGCATACTAGAGTGAAGAATGGAGTAAAGATGTAGAAATTTCAGTTTTACCATACATTTTGTTTTATGATATATTCAAAAATAAAACACATATTTATGAAATAAATACAGCATTGGCCAGTAAAAGTGACTTCTTTCAAAACCATTTTCAACTTTTCAATGAAAACTTGCTGTTTCATAACTCATTTAAAGTTGAAAATTAAGAAGAATGGGGTATATGCACACAGACCTTTAATTTCAGCCAGCCAGTCTCGCACTTCCGGTGACCTGTCTTTCCATTATGAAATTGCTACATTTAAGGTCTGATTTCTTTAAAAATCAGTGATCTTCACTGTCTGATAGATAACTGATATGAAGTGGGTCTCAGACAGGACAAGAAGTGCTGCATTAAATTCCATTTCCCCCCGCCATGTCTTTAAAATATGACAGTTTATTTTACCCCAGTATTTTAAATGGAGTTTCTGCGCTAGCCTGCTGATCCTAATGGCGCTAGCGGTTACATGGTCCTTCATCTCCTTGAGATGAACAACTAAAACTGAATGTATTTTAGTTACATTACAACATCAATTCTGTAAAAACAACCCTATGCAATTGAAAATAGTCACATTAAGCTTTCACTGGAAGTTAATCATTGGCTGAAAAACACTAGCCGTGCGTACTGTATAGCCCATTGAAAATCTGTTGAAAAAGTTTAATAAAGAAATGAAAACAAAAACATGTTCGAAAATATATACTGGTTTGTACATTTTTGCACATTCATAAAGTCGATATGTGCACTGTATACAGATTGTCAATTATTGTCAAGCAAAGCACTAATTACTTTTTTTCCTATCCTCTTGTCTTCTGTTCTGTTTACCTGCTCCAGATCATGCTGAATTCCCTCCATAAATATGAGCCTCAAATTCACATTGTTCGTGTTGGGGGAAGCCACAGGATGGTGACCAACATCTCCTTCACAGACACTCAGTTCATCGCTGTAACAGCCTACCAGAATGAAGAGGTGAACAACATCTTTACAAAATCTGAATCAGAATAGACAACAGGCATACTTGAGGAACAATTCACTTCAAAAATTCTGTCATTTTTAAAAATAATTAGAATTCTTTAATTATGCATTTACAATCATGTGGCTTAAAAACACACACACACACACACACACATTTTCTGTAGATCTTGACAATATTGTTTTCAGGGCTGTTTTACACAGAAAGCAAAGTATAAAATTGTTTGTTTGTGTGGGGTTGTATTTATTCAACTTGATTACTTACTTAATTTTTAGAATACCGTCTCAAAAAAATGCTCTAAAAACCAAGACTCAAGTACAACAGTCTAGCGCATGTTGATTTATTGTTAAATATTAATATTATTGTTTAGTCGATATTAGATCTAATAAACAGTAATTAATTGGAAAGAGGAAATATTGACTCCTTAATGTGAACTTTTAATTACTACTTTTTTATTGTTATTATTATAATTTTATTTTCTTTTTTTTTTCTTTTTTTTGCTTTTATCATAAACTTGCTCATTTATTATTATATTGTTTAACAATTTTTTTTAATTCTTGTATTTTATTTTTTATTTATTTATTTTTTTAGAGGATTTGTTTGTTTATAATTCATACATTTAAATTTATTTTATTTCAATGGGATAGTGGCAAAATAAGAAAAATAAGACAATCTGTAAAAAAAAAAATAAATGATAAATAAATAATATTAATATTATTAAGTTTTATTTCCCCCCTAAATACAGTTTTTTAAATGCCCTTTTTAAATATATGCGATTTAATTTTTGTACATTTTAATAATTTTTTTTTTATTTGAATATTTCTCAACTAAAGTTTTAATGGTTTGATAAAATTTTTTATTATTATCTGTTTTCATTTAATTAAAATCATGAAGTTTGTACAATTTAACATTCTTCAATTGTTTCTAGAACGATATCGCTTTATTATATAGTTATATAACTTCAAGTATAACTTTTTTGTGTCGAATTTTATTACATTAAGGCTGAAAATGAATAACACAGTTTAGCTCAAAAACCTACTAATTAGCTGCTTACTAATAATTATTAAGGATCTAATTTGGTTTAGGTATTGGCTATCATACTTTATAATTGTTAACAGTTAATATCTTAATAATAGGCAGGTAACAAGGCAGTAGTGAACAGTGTGAGTTTGACTAAAGTGTTACTTGTTATTGTTTCACTTTGAAAGATGGACTCTGTATTATAGTGTACCATAATGTCATTCTGTACCATCATATCAAACGTATCATAGTAAAACCAAACTTTTATTTTGATGGGTAACACTACACATCCTGACAAAAGTCTTGTCGTCCATCGTAGTTGTAAGAGCAACAAATAATAACCTGACTTCTAAATAATCTTTTGGAAAAGTGGCAGAGGGTAGATTTTTCTGTTGAACTGCATCCCAATCATCACAAATACTGCAGAAGACCTATTGAAACCAGCATAAACCCGAGATCCTCACAGAAATTAGTCAAGTTTGGTGAAGGAAAAATCATGGTTTGGAGTTACATTTAGTATGGGGGAGTGTGAGAGATCTGCAGAGTGGATGGCAACACCAACAACCTGTAGCATCAAGACATTTGTGATGCCCATTACATTACAAACCACTGAAAAGGGCAAATTCTTCAGCAGAATAGCGCTCCTTCTCATACTTCAGCCTCCACATCAAAGTTCCTAAAAGCAAAAAAGGTCAAGGAGCTCCAACATTGGCCAGCCCAGTGACCAGACATGAACATCATTGAGCATGTCTGGGGTAAGATGAAGGAGGAGGCATTGAGGATGAATCAAAAGAATCTTGAAGAACTCTGGGAGTCCTGCAAAAACGCTTTCTTTGCCATCACAGATGACTTTATTAATCAGTTATTTGAGTCATTGCAGAGATGTATGGATGCAGTCCTCCAAGCGTATGGGAGTCAGACACAATATGATCAATAATGATCAACTAGAAGTCAAGTTATTATTTGTTGTTCCTAAAACATGGATAGACGGCATGACTTTTGTCAGGTAGTGTAGAGTTTCTGTGTGTACATGATATCATGATCTCAAATAAACATAAAAATGCTAATGAAGTGATTCTAGTGTGTATTTATATTTATTATATTTATTTTTTATTCTGACTGGATCCCATGATTCCATCTACAATTAAGCATTATGAAACTGGTAGGTCAGAAGAGCAAGAACAAGAAAGCCACAATAATAACGAAAGGTTTTTTAAGGAAAATCTTTCTGGTTGAACTTTACCTTTTTGTTCAAAGCAAATACAACATCTATAAAGAAAGTTGATATTATATTTATATTATATATATATATTTGATCTCTCATGTCCAAGTGTTATATTTGATCCTCACTACGCTCTCGTCTTCTTCACAGATAACTGCGCTGAAGATAAAACACAACCCGTTTGCTAAAGCGTTCCTTGATGCGAAGGAAAGGTACAAATGAGTGAAATGACGTTGGACAACAAACATCATTAGTGTCAAGTTTTCTCACCGATTTAACAATGCGCATTTCAACTCATAATAATATCATAGCAGGCATTAGCGCTAGTCACGCTAGCATGACTGTGCGAAATCAGCCGTGATTAGCGACCAATTATTAAACGTTTATGCTTTGAATGGAGTGAGTGTGTGAGTAAAGGAGCTTGTTGGAGAGCCGGTGTGAAGTGAGAGTGAGAGATTTTTGAGCGGCTACAGTGAAGAATGTGTGAGATATTGCACAATGATGTTGGTGGAATGAGCGCTGAATAAATATACACTCCAGTAAATGTAATCAAAACTTCACTGGAGCAGAAGATCAACACTACTGTAAAAAAATTGACTGTCTTCCACACAAAGAAAAGAGGAAAAAGTTTTATTTTCATTATTGCTGTCAAACAAATAATCGAGATTAATCACATCCCAAATACAGTTGAAGTCAGAATTATTAGCCCCCCTAAATTATTAGCCCCCCTGTTTATTTTTTTTCCCGATATCTTGGTTTAATGGAGAGAAGATTTCTTAAAACATTTCTAAACATAATAGATTTAATAACTCATTTCCAATATATTATTTTATCTTTGCCATGATGACAGTAAATAATATTTGACTAGATATTTTTCAAAACACTTCTAAACAGCTTAAAGTGACATTTAAAGGCTTAATTAGGTTAATTAGGTTAACTAGGCGGATTAGGGTAATTAGGAAGGTTTTTTTATAAGGATGGTTTGTTCTGTAGACTATCGAGAAAAAAAAATTAGCTTAAAGGGGCTAATAATATATTCCTTAAAATGGTGTTTATAAAATAAAAACTGCTTTTATTCTAGCCAAATTAAAACAAGTAAGACTTTCTCCAGAAGAAAAAATATTATCAGACATATAGTGAAAATTTCCTTGCTCTGTTAAACATCATTTGGGAAATATTTAAAAAAGAAAAACTAAATTTCAAAGGAAAACAAGAATTCTGACATTAACTGTACATATGCAGCGCTCAACATAAACCCCATTTTGAAATACATATATATTATACAAATTGTATATAAATATATAATAAATGTATTTCTTTTTTATTTTATGTACAGTATGTTTGAGTATTTATACATATATTCATAAATATACACTACGCAAGTATATATTAAATGTAAATGCAAACGTTTATCTTGAATGTGATTAATCGTCACACAACAAATTTTAACTGCCATAAATGCTTCATAAATTACTATAATGAGTCATTTGCATTGTTGATTCTCATTACTGTATTTCCAAGAAAATTCATTCATTCATTCATTCATTCATTCATTCATTTTCTTGTCGGTTTAGTCCCTTTATTAATCCGGGGTCGCCACAGTGGAATGAACCACCAACTTATCCAGCAGGTTTTTACGCAGTGGATGCCCTTCCAGCCGCAACCCATCTCTGGGAAAGAAAATTAATTCATTCAGACTATATTTTCACTGTGCCAGAACTAAACTCATCGGCCACTTTGTTAGGTACACCTTACTAGTACCACGTTCAAAGTCACTTAAATCCCCTTTCTCCGTCATTCTGATGCTCGGTTTGAACTGCAGCAGATCGTCTTGACCATGTCTACATGCCTAAATGCATTGAGTTGCTGCCAGGTGATTGGCTGATTAGAAATCTGCGCTAACGTTTAAAAATAGTTTCCAGTTTAAATATAATAATCTTCACATCAATTTTTAATCAATCCATTTCAATAATAATAATCAAGAAAGCAAAGTGTATTAAAATTATTTTTGCAGGATTATATGGCATTAAAGACTAGTAATGTTGATAAATGTGACTTTTTTCCATAAGAGGAATTTGTAAATAATTAATATACTTTTATTTTATTTTTTAAGTAAATAAATTCTTTGAGTCCGGTGAATACTTTTTATTCTAAAAAAAGGAAAAATAAAAATAAAAATAATATAATCAACTGACCAGTGCGTATGAATTGTGTTGATTGTTTATTTGATAATAATATCTGTACCTGATTGGTTGTTTATTTATTTGAGATTTGTCTCATGCGAGATGTTCTTTCCACAGGAGTCATCCTAAGAATCATCTAGAACCTCCAGTTGAGAACCAGCACATGGGCATCCCGCACTGTTAGTCATTCATTTCACAGTTGTTTTTATATAAACAAAGCTTTGTTTTTCTTAAGATTCATCAGCGTTATTCTAACAGTGTTACTGGTGTCCATATCTGTTGGTTTGCAGGCGGATGGTTCATATCAAACCCAGACTCTTTGTGTTCTGCTAGTGGTGGAAACTTTCCATATCCAGGAGGTTTACCGCTCACTCATCATCACCATGGGTATAAACACTACCCAAGTCTACATGGGCATCGGGCAGCCCCGTACCCATCGCCCTACCTGCCCCGCCATCATCACCGTGGCCATAACACAGGTAAAATGTCATTTAATAGCTCGGAATTTGAATCATATCACATAAAAATATTTTTTTATTAATAACTGATGAACAGACAGGCGTGCTGAACTCATCTGTTGCCATAAATTCATCTGTATTTTTTTTTTACAAGCAATCATGTTTAATGGCAGAATTCTGATGGAAAAATGTTATGCTCTGCAGAAAATGCAACCAATCAGAGAGTTGAATTGAGAAATGTGTCAAAAGAGATCTTTAGCCCCACCCACTCCCATGGCGCACCATCAATAAACTCCTCAACTCCAAAGTAATTTATATATGCATATTTTGCAGTGAAATTGAGATATTTGTTTCTGTTGACAATCAGCAGCTTTAAATGAATACTTTCATATGTTCTTGTCATTTCGAATTCATTCAATTGTATCGTTTGCAGTGCTTCGTCATATTTTAGTTCTTGTGTCATTGAAGCCGTGCTGTAAATTAATAATACAATCAAATCTTGCTAATGTACGGTTGCAATCAGAATCATTAAACCCCCTTTTTTAGATTTCCTAAATGTTTAACAGAGCAAGGATAGTTTAAATATAAAAATAATATTCTACAGAACAAACCATCGATATACAATAACTTGCCTAATTACCCTAACCTGTCTAGTTAACTCAATTAACCCAGTTAAGCCTTTAACTGTCACTTTAAGCTGTATAGAAGTGTCTTGAAAAAATCTAGTCAAATATTATTTACTGTCATCATGATAAAGAGAAAATAAATCTGTTATTAGAAATGAGTTGTTAAAACTATTGTTTAGAAATGTGCTGAAAAAAATCTCTCTGTTAAACAGAAATTGGGGAAAAAATAAACAGGGGGGCGAGTCATTTTAAACTGCATATAGAATGTTTTTAAATATTTTATGTGTTTGGGATTCGGCCCTAAGTATTAAAGTCAACCAAAACTGAAGCCTTAAAACTCACGTGTTACTTGAAATACATTATTTTAAAAACTTTTAAAAATAAATATTATTTATATTACCCACAGTTGCCAAGGAAATATTTCTCCTTTTCAATTAGATTTACTCGACACAACAGAAACTGAAATAAACAAAATATATTAAAAACTGTTGTCACAGACATGAAAAAATAAATCATAAAAATGAGGTGAAAAATTCTGATTATTACAACAAATACAAAATACCAGTAGTTAACTTATTGATACTAAAATAACATTGACTGAACCACCATGTTTCAAACACATAGTCAAGCCCGAAATTATTCACAGCGCTGGCAAATTCTGACTGCCACTTTTTGTTCAAAGATGAGAAATATTTTTTCCATCCACCTGGAAAGGCTCAGATTTATCAGGTCTAATTCCCACGAAAAATTATTTGCTACCTGGTAACTCTTTCTTGGAAATTTTAGACTTGAAACGGGCTCTATCCAAATCCAGCACCCTTCATGAAAACTGACTGTGCAACACTACATTTTGTATCCCCAGCTGAACAGCTGAACCCACATGTATGGCAATTCATATATTTACCTGCAAAGTTTGTAAATTCTGAGACAATATTGTTTGTTTGTTGTTTTCTGTTGTACTTAAAAAAACCTTAAAATAAAAGTAAAAAAAAAAAGATTTCTTTCATAAAAAAATTGATGCTGCCTCTTGTGCATCGTTTAACCTTTTCAGTCAAAAAAAAAAACTTGTTGGTTAAATAAAAGTTAGAATTTGACAGGGGTATGTATAACTTCATGCTCGAGTCTGACTATCTTCTTTAGGTGGAACACTAAAGGAGAAATTTTAAAAAACTTAAAAACTTATAACTCTCCTTTTTCAGAAATCTGAAAAAAATCTAATGTAACATTTAGATGCTCTTGATGTTTATTCTTTGCTTACTCGCTTCTGTTTTCCTTTTGCAGTTTCTTTATCAGACAATTTGAGTCCAGGCATGCAGATGTTCTCCGGTCACGAGAGCTGGACAGGTGTGTCTCCTCCAGGTCCTGCTGCCATGCTGTCCATGCAACCTGCTCCAAACTCACCTGGAGCCAGCAGGTCAGAGAGAAAACTTCACCTCACATTTGACACGCTATTATACTTGAATGTCTTGTATATAAAGAAATTTTCCATAAAAACCTGAAGTTTGTCTCTCCATCTGTGATTTTCAGTCAATATCCCTGCCTGTGGACTGTGAGCAGCTGCACCGTCTCCTCCAGTCCTCCAGGAGGCGTTGTGAGCCTTACACACGGCCAGGATGAGCCTGCGGACGGTGCATCTACTTCTGCTTCACCGTGCTCTTTACTGCAGGCCCACGGACCAACCGGCTCAGATGGTGCCGTAGATCCAGCCAATCACAGTAGGGTAGGCGGGATGAGCTGGGCTTCTGTCACCACCCACTCGTTCTAAGCAAAATCATTTAATCTGAAATAATTAAAAGCGTACATGAAATATGATCAGCGGGTTATGAAATCCATGAGTATGAATCCATGCTAAAGGTCATGGGTCTCAAACTGGATTCCTGGAGGGCCGCAGCTCTGCAGTTCTGCTCCAACCCTAATCAAACACAGCTGACCCAGCTAATCAAGCTGTTCAAGACTACTAGAGACTATTGACCTTATTCTTCAATGCGTAAGTGCACTCGATTTTGCGATTGTTTTAGAACTTTCGATTCAGTTTCCAATGGGAGAAATGACTAGAAATAATATATGTAAGAAACTGATCAAGCTATTTGCTTTACAAACAAGCAGTTGCATAATTATACAGACAAAGTAAAATAATGTAAGAAGCAAATGTCAGTTTGCAACATGAAGCCGCATAACAAGCTGTTTTTAACATCTAAAAATCAATGGAAGTAAATGAGAGCAGAAGTCTCGAGCCAAAAAGATTTCAAATGGCTGCGCCCACTCTTACGCAAAGAATAAGGTGAATTAAGCAGGCGTGAGATGGAGGTGGCTGAAGCTGAACCATGCAGAGCTGCGATCCTCCAGGAATTGAGTTTGAGACCACTGCTTTAGATGTATACACTAATGCATCACAAATGATCAGATATAAAGCCCGCACAAAAAGGGTCGACCGGGGTCCAGTTTGATTCCACTTTCTAAAATTTTGGCAATAATGCTAAAGCTGGAATTTCTTACAGAATAATCCATCCACTGTAAATAAAGGTAATTGTGCATTTTTATCCCTGAAGTTCTGGCTTTTTTTCTAAGAATTGCTCAACATTTTGAGGGGAAAAAGTCAGAATTATAAGATAAAATTTGCTATTATCTTCCTTTTTTGATCAAGCTTCCATAACATTCACACGACACCAACAGACACGTATTGACATTTTTGCAGGGTCACTGTGTTTGTTAACCCTGTGAGCGCCGTTGCTTTTGCCAGTTAAACATGTTGAAGTACTGTAGTCTAGTGATGGATCACATGGGTTAACATGTCAGTGAAATGCAAGTTGTCCTTCAAGCATGCCTCTAACTTGTATGTCAAACCCAGCCTGGATTGGGCCTCACAAATATGGGAGTGTAATATGTGATCTAAATGGGAGTGTTGGCAGCTATGCTTTAAAGCAGAGATGCCCAAAGTAGGGCCCACTGTAACCTTTGATTTGACCCACCATCCCATCTGAAAAGAGAGTGAGAATGATGGAGAGGGTTGGGGCGAATGCCTTAAACAGATCGTCATTTCTAATTCTAATTTCATAACTTTTGTTTTTTTGTTTATTTTATTGCGGAGCTACAAAAAGAAAAAGCTAACTGGAATGAAATGTTTCAATTAAATGTTGTAAGTGAATCAGATGTAAATAATGTCACTCGACAGATAAAGGACTATTTGTAGTCTAGTGTAACTTTTTACTGTAATAAGTTCATTATAAAATTAAAGTAATATATGCTGTGTTAGTTAATATAAAGCAAAGTTTTCTAGTTAATTTTAAAATATTATTAAATAAATCAGTAAATTACCAATGACAACTATATTTACCTTCGGCCCACTGGCCTTAATCAAGTTTGATTTTTGACCCTTCATAAGAAAAGTCAAAAAAATGATGCACTTGATATTCTTTACGTAATCTATAGGAAATCTGACGAATGGCACTTTTAAAAATAAATGTGTTTTTTTTAGTCAGGATATTCTGAGAACCCCTGTAAAGGCATATGATCATTAATCTGCATTATGTGGGACAGGTGCATCTTTTAAAATGGAAAAACTGGAGCATCTGGTGCTTCTGGTGTATTGTAAACTTCTGTTGTAGTTGAGTGTGTTACAATTCAGTACAATATTGTCAAGTCAATGATCATCTAACAACACCAAGGAACTCTGATGATTTAAAGAAATGTGAATAAAATCTGTTTACTGTACTTGTATAATTGTAAATATTCAGCAATGTTCAGAAAGTGGAGTCGGTTAGATTTTAAAGGTTCCATGAAATTAAAATACATTTTTTTTTTAGATGTTAGGATTAGTATTTGTTCGTAACAAGCATATCTATAAGCTAGCGTACTCCATAACAGTGACAGAATTTGCATTTAGAAGACATAAAACTGATATAAACATGTAAGGCTTGTAGTCTGTCACTTGCGCTTAAATGGGTCAACAGTTCTATTCACGTCAGCTCACACTACAGTTTCTCATCACATCAAATCAAACGCTCTCAGTCTGACATGCCCCGCCCCCTTCAAAACGCTTCTCATTTGCTTTTCATGTGATGGGCTTGAGCTCAACCACTCTTACTAGCAGAGCTGTGATAACAAAACATTAAAAAGGGGAGGAGTTACACTATACCCTACCCTTTCTTCGTGTTTCTGAAATAAAAATGCACATTTCAAAGCACTTCACACCACCTTTAACATTTTCATGTGTGTTTTTGAAGTTCTCACCAAGATTGAATTTATTTAATTTAAAAAAAAAAAAAAAAAAAAAAACTATTTATGCTTGTTTTCATTGTCACATTTTTCTCCATTTTAGTATGATGATTTCCCTAGTAGCAAAGATTTCTGGCCCAGATTTGGCAAAAAGCTGGCACAGCAGGCATTCATCCGGCACTGGCATACAGCATGTGGGCCAAACATGGCCCGGGTTTGGCAGAGGTGGCACCGTTTTTAAGGCGGCACACAAGATTTGGGCCAGATGTAAAACGTAGTATTTGGCCCAGATTTAAAAATTTGATAAGTGGGCCATGTGAGTTTGGCCAGTCTTGACCCACATTTAAAATACACTAAAATCATTTTTGAGTAAAGAAAAAAAATTCTACCAATCAGGTCACTTTGAGAAAAAGCGTGCCCATATTGTGCCTAAAGCGCATCACTCCATGGGTTTATCAATTTCATTGCAATCGTGACACACCAACCTATCAGGCCCAGTTCAGGCCCAGTTATGAGTTATTAACTTGGCTGAGACTTGGCCCAGATATGGTCTGTGTTTAGCCCTTGTCTGGAAGCCAGATTTGGTCCAGTCATGTACCGTAATTCACTGCGGCATGTGGGCCAAGCAAAACCTGATTGTGTGGGCCAGAGCTGGGCCAGAGAAATTTTGCTATGTGGGGGTTGTCATACTTTCTTTTTCCTTGAGCTTACTCAGTTTATTTATCAGGGATGCCACAGCGGAATGAACCGCCAACCTATCCAGCATATGTTTTACACGGCGGATGCCCTTCCAGCTGCAACACTGTGAAACACCTATACACTCTGATTTGGTTCTCAAGAAACTCTAAAGTTACTATCAATATAAAAACTGCTCTGTATTTGATTGGAAATGCTAAAACGTTTCTTTAGACGTATTTGACTAAAACATTCAAGCATTCACAAGGAGAACATTTATCTGACGCAGAAATACATTGTAATCGCAATGTTATTACATTCAAATAAAATCTTACCGACCCTGACCCTCTTTTATTTCTCTTCACAGTCCATTTGTAGTTTGGTGCAACAGTCTGGTCAAAAGTTCAAAGCTGTTACCTGAACAGAACATCTGACCGGAGTGAATCAGAGAGAGCGCAATACAACTACAACTGAGGCACAATTAAAGCCCGCATAAATGGCTTCTCTAGTTAATCAATTAAACCACTTTGGCATGCGGAACAAGGCAGTGTTTTGGCAGACGCAGTGCTTTCGCTCTTACCTGGCCTTTTTACCTTCTAGTGCACACACATTCATTCACAATCTCTTTCTCTCACACACACACATTCACAAGCACAAACACATTACCGTTACATTCACACAGCTACACACACACGGCTCCGATTCCTCCAAAAGCAGGCCTCACTTACCCGCAGTTTTAAAACGCTGCATAAAGAGAAGGCAATTATTCCCCCATCATATTTTTCGGCTCTTGAAAATGTTATTTTAATCGTGCTGGTGGAGTGGACCACTCTGTTGTTTTCACATGAGTGTAAAAAATAATGACGGCTGTCCAGTGAATGGGGCCTTGGCATGAGTTTAGGCCACTATGGGCATGCGGTCGAACACACACACGAACACACACAAATACACAGACTTAACTTTCTGAGTTGAACAGAAAGCAAACTAATGTCGTATGAAACACATGCAGAACTCTTTCTATACACTTTTAATTTAATCAATACTGATTGTTAAATGGTGTGACACGGTGGCTCAGTGGTTAGGACTGTTGCCTCACAGCAAGAAGGTCGCTGGTTCGAGCCCTGGCTTGGTCAGTTGGCATTTCTGTGTGGAGTTTGCATGTTGTCCCCGTGGGTTTCCCCCACAGTCCAAAGACATGCGCTATAGGTGAATTGGGTAGACTAAATTGGCTGTAGCGCATGTGTGTGAATGAATGTGTATGGATGTTTTCCAGTACTGGGTTGCAGTCAGAAGTGCATCCGCTGTGTATAACATGCCGGATAAGTTGGCGGTTCATTCCACTGACAACGGATGAATAAAGGGACTAAGCGGAAGGAAAATGAATGTTCACAAGTTGCTGAAACACTGAGTAATTAGTTGTTCACTCGTGCTTATCTCATGCTGTGACTTGTAGTAAGAAGAATAAAATGGTCACAATTATTTGAATTCTCTGAAATATGGACAGATTTTGAAAGATGAAAGTTTGTTTCTTATCTCAAGTAACTAAACACAAAGCTTCTTGTCATTATTGGACAAGTGTTTGCATATAAAATGTAATAACAAACTTTGCATAACCACTTTAATAAAATTGTAATAATAAGTGAAATTATTTATAGACAGAACCACGATTCATTCTGTAAACTATAATTTAATTAAAAAAGGTAAATAAAACCAATCCGTTTTTACATTTAGTTACTACATGAGTCTTAAAACTGGCTGCTTGTGTACCTGAGATGTTTACTTGTGGTGGGGGATGGCGCTTGTATTATCGTGCTGTTACTTAAAGTGATTGTTCACACACTTAAAAAAAATTACTACCTTCGTCATCCCAAATCTATAAAAATCTCAGTCTGTGGTAACCAAAACTTGTAAACCTTCTAAGTGTTTTCTTTAGTTTACCACAGGAGGAAAATG